AGGTGAGTTTGCACTCACTGACTGGCTGATCAAGCTCAGCTTCAGGGCAGGGTTCCGAGTTCCAAGATCGGGTTATTCCGTCTAGTCAAGACACTTCCCACCTCCTCGAGGTGATCCTCGTAGCTGCCTCTGGGGAGTCTCAGAGTGTGCTGGCCGTTCCACACATTGGCAGCTACCGTTCCTCTGCTCCCTCTCTCTTGGCCTTACGGACTGCAAGCATAAGTTACCCAGAGTGGTACCTTGTAACTACATTGGGAAGTCAGGACAAGGGTGCCCAGCTGGCTGGCTGGAGTTCCCTTTAGGGAACAGGAAGTCGCCCTAAATAGCACCTTCTCACCTTAGTGTTCTGTGACCCACTTATCCCTGGCTGGCCACTGGACAGAGCAATTAGACGAGGACAATCTGGGTAACCCAAAAGCCTGGCTTCCCACCCAGGCTTCTCTGCATCCCACTTCTCCCACCCCCGTGTACACGCACTTTCAGGGCCTCATCTTCCAGCATAGAATTGATAACAGTGACAACACTGGCTCCTATTTAGATGGTATGTTAAGGTTTGTCTCCACTAACATCCTCAGGGTGTGTGGGGTGACGCTTGGCCCTGAGTAGGGCCCAGACCCTGGCAGGTCCCCCAGCCAGAGTGGCTTCCAGGATGGGCCCAGAAACCGGCTGTATGACTATCTGAGCATCTGCCGAGCTCAATTTGAGAGGTTCGTCATCGCAGCATCAGAGATAGAAAGGACCTTAGAAGTCATTGAGTCCACACCTCCATTTTGTAGATGAGCAAACTTAGGCATTAAGACATTAAGTGACTTGCCCAAGGTCACACAACAAGTAAGTGTCTAAGGCAAGATTTGAACCCAGGTTCTCCTGACTCCAAGGCCATTGCCCTTTCTACCTTGCTATGTAGGATGATAAATCTTTAGACCACACACAGGAACTCTTAAAGACTATCTATAAAAGTCATAGAGGGGTCAAAATTTGCATTAGTGCAGGATTGCTTATCTAGTGGAGAGGGATCTTCAGTCAGTCAACAAGCATTTATTAAGCACCTACAATATGGCAGGTTTTATAGATATCCAAACCAGATTGAAGGTTTTATATGTTACTTTACATTTGTATTATTTCATTTGATCCTCCAACCACCCCATAGGGCAGGTACTATTATTATCCCCAGGCTAAGTGCTGGAAGTATAAAGAAAGTCAGAAGACAGTCCCTGCCCTCCAGGAGCTCCCAGACTAACAGGGTAGACAACCACTGGCAGAAGGAATTGGAGATCTTTAACAGAGGGAGGGCACTAGCCTTTACGGGATGCCGAAAGGCTTCTTGTAACAGGTAGGATTTTAGCTGGGACTTGAAGGAAGCCAGGAAGGGGAGATGAGGATGGAGGCCATTGCTGCAGGTAGAGATGTCAGGGGAGAAAGGCATAAGAAGACTGGAAAGATGAGGCGGTCAGGCTGCAAAGGGCTTTGAACAGTGAACAGGATTTTACATTTGATCTTGGAGGTGATAGGGAGCCCCTGACATTTACTGAGTAGGAGAGTGCTGTGGTCAGACCTCTGCTTCAGGAAGGTCACCCTCAGTGAAGGGTGGACTGGAGCGGGGAGGGAGACCACTGCTTGTCCACAAAGAGCTGACACAGTCACAGATCCATGAATATTGAAATATGTATGGAAGCATTGTGCAAAGCATTTCCTTCACAATCCCAAGTGTTCCTATCACCATTTGAGAGATGAAGAGATTGTAGCTTAGGCAGCTAAGGGACTTGCCCGGGGTCCTACAGCAAAGGGCTGGAGCTCAGACCTTCCCAAGGCTCCTGACATCGAGGCTGGCTTTCTTCCCATCATGTGACACCAGCATCTGGTATCTAGCTGTATGACCCTGGGCAAGTCACTTAACCTCAATTGCCAAAAAAAAAGAATCATAGGAGGAAAAATGGTGCTATAAAGAGATACTCCTAAGGATAGGTGCCAAACAGCACCATGGAAGGAACAGCTTGCAAAAGCTATTGAGGAACTAAAGATATTGGAAAATTTCTTCAATATCTAGCTGATACACTCAGTAGAATAATTGAATGCTATGTAACCTGATTCAAGACTGAAAAAAACAACAAGAGGGATGGAATCTGGAATCATTTATCAATGTCTGATTAGAGGTATCAATAAACTCAGTCGTTCCATATAAGTGAAATTAAACAGTGTTAGGTGTGGAGTTGGAAACTGCTCCCCTTTTACAAGGATTTTAAGGAGTTAGATTTGAAGGTGAGAAGAAGATCTGAAGAAGATTGAGATTTGGAAGTGCTAAACACTAAATTGTATGCTCCCCTGGATGGGACGGGGGTCCCTTGTTTCTCAGAGTCAGAATTAGAGCTAAAGAAAGGCTGGCGATGGATAAATACATCAACTGGGGAAAAAATCCGAGTTTAAAGAGCTATTGATGTTGACTCAGCCTGGAGACAGAGACGTCCTTGTTGTTCTTTGCACATTACACTCCATCTCCCTCCTGCATGCCTTTTCACTGGGTGTCCTCCATGCCTGGAATGCTTTCCATCCTCACCTGGAGGTCCTGTGTTCTGTGACCTTCAAGACTCAGCTTGTCTCCTACGTCGTGCAAAAGGCCTTTCCGGTCTTCCCTGTCCCACCTCCAGTTCCTTCCTTCTGAGGTTATCATCCATTTACATTGTATGTGTATGTATCTTACATGTGTATTCCTGTGTGTAAATGTCTTTTATCTACATGTTTCTTTATATGTTGTCTCCCTCCCAGCCCCTGAGAATGTGAACTCCTTGAAGAGAATGACTGTTTTTGCCTTCCCTCGTGTCCCCAGTGCTTAGCACAGTTCCTGATACACACTAAGTGCTTAATAAAGGCTTGTTGACTAACTAGCTCAACAAGGGAGAGAGACATGATGGTAGTCATCAAACATGTCAAGAGTTGGCCCATGGGGAAAAAAAGAATTAGACTTGTTCTGCACAACCCCAGAAAGCCGAACGAGGACCAGCTAGTTGGTCCTGGCTGCTGCTCAGCTAAGGTGCCACTTTAAAGTAGATCTCACTTGGGCAATCTGGCCTTCTCTTTCCCTCCGGCCTCTCCAGAATGTCTTTCTCTTTTTTCCATCCCCTTCCCTGGAGCCCTGTTGGCTGCTGGGAGCACCAGCAGAGATGGAGCGTATGCACCGACGTCAGGAGTCTACACTTTCCCAGATCTGTTGTGAGTCAGCCACCTTGTCTGACCTTGGCATCTGCCCCAAGGGAGGCAGAAGGCACCCTCGAGTTGCCTGGGTACATTCCCTCCCTCATTCTTGTGGCCAAGGGTGAGAACAGGGCAGGACAGGACAGGCCTAGGCATTGCCCGCTTCCGTCCAGCTGGGGCTGAGAGCAGAGAGGCAGCCCAGGCTGGCCCTGGTGGCTGTGCCTCCACCCCTTCCATGTGCTGAACTGATTGGTTCAAAAATCACGGGTGGAGTGTTTGGGTGCCTTTGCCCTAAATATGGCACTGGAATGAATGAAGCCGCAGCCAGAGCAGGTGCCCGGCTGGTATGCAAATGAATCCTTTGGATTTCCCACACACCTTCTAGTTACTGGGAGAAGGGAAACCTTCCCAGGAGTGTCCCACCTGAGAACTCTACTGCTTACCAGGCAGCCTCCCACGCACTGTGGGGGAGAGGGGGGACAGTGAGAGGGCTGGCCCCCAGAAAGGGTCACTGCTCTGACTCCTCCCCTCTTTAGCCTTCATTTTCTGTCTCTGTCAAATGAATGGAGTCAGACGCATTATTTTTACCCTCACTCCAGAAAGGCTATGAGAATCAAAAGTGATAATAGAACCAGTTAAACAAGTATTTATTAAGTATTATGAGCAAGACACCACGCTGAGCTCTGGGGCTACCTGGAGGGATCCATGACCAACTTCCCTCATTGGAGGGAACTCCTGGTGTGGGCACTCCCTCCACCAACTCAGATCGCAGCCTGTAGATTATAGAACTAAAATTATATAAGCTCCCTTACAGAGCTGGCAGGGACCCCAGAGGCCACCAGGACCAAACCCCCTTGTTTGACAGAGAAGGAAACCGAGGCCCAGGGGGGTTAAGGAACTTGCCCAAGGGTCACAAGCCTCAGAGGTGGGATTTGAACCCTAGCCTCTGACTAGAGTCGGTGCTCTTCCAGCTGTACTATGCTGAGGTAAGGGGTTAAAAGCTAGTGACCATCAAAGGCAAGATTTAAACCCTGGTCTTCCTGACAACCATCATGCCCTTCTTCCTTCCTTAGTTACACTGTCTTAGGTACTTAGAAAATGAAAATTTAAAAATGGCCCATTCTCCTCCCTCAAGGAGCATCTGTCCTTTTGAAGGGTGGGAAATGTGTACGTAGATGAACAGGGATCAATGGGACCCAAGATGAAATCCAGTCAAGGTGTGCCAGGTAAGTGTGCGGAGGAAGCAAACTCCTTCATTGAGGGGCTCAGAGAAGGCTTCCTGGTGAGGCTTGAAGGAAAATAAGCATCCAGAAGCTAAGAGAGGAAGGAGATGCTGGGTGAGAGACAAGGGCGATACACATTCACAAAGGCAGAAGATGGAGAGTGGGCTGGGCGCTCAGTGTCACACGGTCAGTGTGTATCAGCAGGCCCAGGCTCCCTGGCACTGGGGCATATCTCTATCCACTCCATGTCAGTATTACATCTTTAAACATACGTGGATAGAAATTATCATACAAAAGGAAGATACTTGAAAACAGCAATCCATAGAGCAGTGGGATGGCCTGATGGTTAGAGAGATGGTCTCCAAGTCAATGAGATTGGATTCAAGTGCTGTTCCTGACAGGGTTTTGTCAAGCTGTGTGACCCTGGGCAAGTCACTTGGCCTCTGACCACCACGGGTAAATCTCCAAGATTACAGATTGTAATCAGAAGACCCTGTGCCAATAAAATCATGGAGGGGGGCATTACCGAAATGTAAGATTAGTCCTTAGAGAGAGAAGGCTTACCCTTATCTCTCTTTCCCTCTCCAGGTTCCTACATTCCCAGGGAAAACTGCCTGAAGGTAAGACCATTCCCTGCACTGTTTTCAAGCCAGCTAGTTAGCTAGGAGAAAGGCTTCCACCTGGAGCGCTGATTGGGGTTAGGAGCAGAGGGCTGTGAAACAAAGGAATCCCACATTGAAACTGTTTTGCCTCCTCCATCCTTCTGAAATGTTTATTGGCAGGCCCAAGGCAAATCCTGAGGAAGGATTATAGAATGCTAGACTTGGTGGTCTTGCAGAGGAAGGAAACCAAGTTCCAAAGAGGTTATCAACCTTGGTTAAGGTCACCCTGAGGGTTGGCCAAAGAGCTGAGCCTCCAACCCACTCTGCCCCAGACTCCATGCATTTGCATGGAAATGTGACTGGAAATCAATCAGTCAGCAAACACTTATTAAGCACCTACTGTGTGCCTAACTGTGTGCTGAGCTCTGGCATTCAGACCCAAAGCATTCCAAACCCAAAACCAAACCTCTAGTGAGGACATTTCAGGCCTGTTGGTGGGTTAGGATGGGGAGCATCCCTCACTGTAAGAAGGAAGGAGAAAGTGAAATGCTCTGCTTGGTATAGGAGGATGAGGGGGCTGCCTCCCCCTGGCAGGGGCTCGCCCTGAATCATGTGCACCTCCTCCTCCCAGCTCTGGGAGAGGCTGATTCTTTGGCATCTTGGAAGGGAGACCAAAGCTTGGAGGCTCTGTGTCCCAGGGGAGGGGAGGGCAAGGCCCTGCCCTTGAGAGGCCTGTGCCAGGCACTGTGGGCACTGCCAGCCCTACTTCTCTGACACGCTTTAGCATAGGGGCCCCACCCAAGAGGAGTCAGCATCTTCTGAGAGAAAGCTTCTGCCTCCCGAGGTCCTCTTTAAAGTCCCTCGTGCCTTGAACGGGTCAGTCATGGAATTCACAGCTGGAAGGACCTGGGAGGATATCTAGTCCAGCCCCTTCATTTCACAGAAGTGGAACCCGAGCTCCAAAATACTTGTGAGGCACCTACTGAGTGCAAGGCACTGGGGATACAAAGTTAAAATGAAAATTCATCTTTGCTCTCAAGGACTTTATGGGAAGAACACTGGCTCTGGGTTTGAATCCAGGCTCTGCCACTTCCTCCCTGTGATCTGGGGCAAATTATTTCCCCTCCCTAGGCCTCAGTTTCCTTATGTCTAGGATGAGGCTGTGGAGCTACAATCCCAAGATTTGCTTGAGTTCCTTTTCGCTGCCAAACCACGAGCCTAAGCTCTTGTATTCTGTAGATAACAGACGGAGCTGGGCATTCAACTCGGATCTTCTGCCTCCACATCGAGGGCTTGACCTATTCGATGATGGCTTCTCCTCCTCCTGGCAGAGCCAGGGCAGCCCAGAGATGTCCTCACGGCTCACATTTCAATGGGGCTTCCAAGTCTGCAAAGAGTCCCACAGGACAGGGAGGGTAAATACCATCATCTCCATGTTGCAGATGAGCTAACTGCAGCACCCAGAGGCTAAGTCAATTGCCCCACACCCCATGGCTGCCTCTTATTATACCTGTGTGACCTTGGTCGACAATTTGGATCTCTGACACATTGAGAGGTCACATAGTAAAGTGGGCTGCTGAATTTCAAGACTGAATCAGAGACAATGAATCTGGATCCCTCAGGAAAAGACTTCTCTTTCATCTAACCTCTCTGGTCCTCAGTTTCCTCTAGTGTAAAATTAAGGGGGTGACCCTGATGCCTATGAGGTCCTTTCCTGGTCTAAATGATTACAGTGCTGTGATCACACCAAAGGAAAGTGTCTGATCTGAGCCCTGAACGTAATCATCCTTCTTCTAAACCAAGAGCACCACACTGTGCATTGGGAGGGCAGCAGGAAGGAGGATGGCAGAGGGAGGGCACCAAGCTCCTGGGCTGCACACCCCATTCAGGATATGCATTTAAACTCCTTCACTTACAAAATGAAGCCGCTCCAGGAGCAAGGCAGCACGGTTAGGAAATCCACTGTCAATCTGGGATCCAGCAATGTGACCAAGAATGCTTGCACTCTGTCCGACTTTCTGTCTTCACCAAGGCTTGGCATCTCCATGGCTGTTGGGGTGTAGAAAGGGTCCAGGCTGAGACCAAACTGGCTTGGAGCTTCTTCAAGGGGCAAACCCTCACTGCTCCCCCTTGCAAATCACAATGAAGAACTTAAGAGTCAGGAGATGTAGCCCCTGAAGGGCAGTGATTTCCCAGGAAAGGGACCTGATCAATGCAGAGCACCAACACCGGCTTGGAGTCCTGCCTCCCCATCACTTACCTGGGGAGGCTTGGGGAAATGAGTTCACCTCCCAGAGATTCAATTTCCTCTTCCATAAAGGGAAGAGGTTGGTCCAAGGTTCTTAACCTGAGAACTATGAACTTTAAAAAACAAACAAACCATAATTGACTGACCATACTTCAGAACGATTTGTTTCCTCTATAATCTCATGTATTTTATGTCATGCATATAAAACCATGATACCGAGAAGGGGTCTGTAGGCTCCTCCAGATGTTGCCGAGGAGCTCCAGGATACAACAAGGTAAAGAAATCGTGATCCACATGGCCTCCACAGTCCCTTCAGTTCTCACATCTTGAGCATTTAAAGACGAGGAAAGGGAGGGTGACAAGCCAGCATCCTGGCATGACCTGGGCACCGGAAGTCTGCATATGTGACTTCCTTGTCCCAGCTCTGCCCCTAATTATCGGAATGACAAGTTGTGGGACTGCACATCATAGGATCATGGCTCTGCATCTGACCTCAGAAGCCATCAAGGCCAACCTCCCTCTGTTTTTTACAAATGAGGAAACTAGGCCCCAGAGAGAGGTTTATTGACTTACCCAGAGTCAAGCAGCCAGTATCTTGGGCAGGATTTAAAAGGGGGTTTTCCTGAGTGCAAACTCAGAGCCCTCTCCACTACATCGTGCTACCTGTCTAGGCCTGCCTCAGTGTCCTCCTGTGTAAAACAAGATGGTTCGGTGAGATGAGCTCCAAGGCCTGTTGTCACCCCTCCCCCACACAGCTCTGGAGCCCTCCAAAGGTGGTTGCCACAGGTATTGGTTCTGGCTGCTTCCAGATAGGATCCCAGCATCGAATATTCTCTGATTCTGGACAATCCCCTCTGCACCTGAGCATTAGTGTAGGCTGGACAGCACCCCCCTCCTCAGCCCTGGGAGGAAAGCTGAGTGGATGGGAGGGATTACATCATCTCTGTCTCTCAGCCTGCACAGAGCAGCCGCTGGGAAGGCTCAAGCTTGGGAGCAGCACTTTACACTAAGCCCTTCCAAATATAGGCTGGGCCACACTGCCCAGCTGGCATGTGATCGGGCAGGCCTGAGAAGCTGGCGCTCAGAAAGGCTTAATGAGAGCTGAGTGATGGGGGTGTGCAGCCCAAATACTTCCTTGGAGAGATATGGGAAACATGGCCTGGCCCTGTGCCTGCTGCATTCCCACGTCAGCCCAGTGCCCTCATAAATTATAGATCATTTACAGCAAAGCCAGCTGGGGCCGCTGGGTGAGCCGGCTCACCTTGGAGAGGTCAGAGAAAGAGGCGTCTGCGTGTTCCAAAGTGCTGAACTCCCCCCATGCTTCCATTCCCCATCAGACCCTTCTTACCCTAGATGGAAGTTAGCCTCCTTGCCCTTGAGAGAGCCTGAGACTGGCCTGAGACTTGGGGGCTGAGAGAGGCATTGACTTTGCCCAAGGTCACCCACACACACACAGCACGAGGGATCATCGCCTGGCTACCGAGGATGGCACAGCCACTCTTGCCCTGGTCCCTAAAGGGCTGCACTGCTGGAAGGCAGCTTGGAAGCCTCCAGTTGCTTTCCTCTCCTATACTACACTCTCCCAAGGGTCACAGCAGCTGTGACCACTCTCCTTCAGGCCAGGTTTCCCTGGCTCATTGCCCAGCTTGCTGGGTGAGGCCTTCAGAGAGAACCTGGGGAGCCAAAGATTCCTTTCTTTGCTCAAAGGGTTTTCCCCAAAACCCCTCCTCAACTCCCCCTGCCCCCAACACATGTTCCATTTATAGGAACACCCCCCCACTCCCCCCCCCAGGCTCGTTGCCTTCTCCTCACCATGTCTGCTGGCGTAAATAAACTGATTAAGAGATGAGCACCAGATGCATCTATATCCTGTAGGCCCTGAGCCCCTGCTCTTCTCCACCCTTTATCCTCCCTACCCACCTTTAGCCAACCTAGCCAATCACAGGAGAGGGGGAAGACACTTCCTGGGTCACCTCACCTTCTGGATTCAGCATGGTACAGTGAAAAGAGTGGAGTTTGGAATCAGAAGATTCAGGTTCTAGCCCCTGGGCCTCAGTTTCCTCATCTGTAAAACAAAGAGGTTGGATTGGATTGTGAAGGTCTCTTCCAGCTCTGATTCTTCATGTCTCCCCACTAAAGGGTGTCTGGGGGTCATTTTGGCCGAGCTGGGTAAGCCCATCATTTATTGAGACCCAGTGTGGTTGTAACAGAGGAACCCCAGGGGCTCATGAACCCCAGGTTCTAGTCCCATCCTGGCCTCTAGCTCACACAGGGGAGGAAAAGGACCACTTACAGTCAGGAAGAGCTGGGTTTGAACCCCACCTCAGACACACACTGGCAGTGTGACTCTAGGCAAGTAAGTCAGCCTCTCTGAGAATTTCTTCATCTATAAAATGGCGCTCATAATAGATACCTCACAGGGTTGGAGGTATCTGAAATAAGCATGAGGCTTCTCTGAGCCTCAACTTCCTCCTCCGAAAAATGAGGCAGCTTGATGGTGAAGTCAGGAGGCCCTGAGTTCAAATCCAGCCTAGGATTTGGCCCTGTGTGACCCTAGGCCAGTGACTTGACCTCTGCCTCAGTTTCCTTGACTGCAGTCCAGCTACCATAGGGGGTAAAGAATCCTCACCTTGCATTTTTTTGTGCAGTTCTTAGAAGTAAGCAGCTGTAGTGAGGAGTTTTAAGGGGAAGTGACTTGGGGGGGCGGTAAAAACAAAGGTATCCTGGAAACTTTTTAAAAAATAGATTTTATTGATGTCTTTAGTTCTTACCTCGCCTGGGTTTTCCCTTCTATCTCTCCTCTTCCACGCCACAGAGTCATCCCTTATATCAAAGAATAAAACAACTTTAAAAAATAAGAACATCTTATAAAAGTAAGACTAATAATACAACTTTAAAAAATAAGACTGGCTCCCGAGCCCACCTCCCAAATCCCAAGCCCAGCAGAGCAGCCCCTTGCCCAGGACAAGAAGCCCAGGATCCCGGCAGTTCTCTGAGCCAAGGTCTCTGATCCGACAAGTGCCAGGCTCCAAAGCCTGCCCAGAGAGAAGAGTCCATGTGACTCCTGCCTACCCGGGCTGGGCACACGTGGTCGGCTGCCCACGAGGGAGCAGCGCTGAGCGCCATCTACCTCTCCCAGACCTTTACTGCAGCCTGCTCGCAGGCGGGCATGGGCTAGGTGACCTTCACCTTGGTGCTGAGCCTCCCCTCCCACTCCCAAGGCGGGGCTGGGCCTGCCTGATCGTCCAGCTTTTCCCCACCCCAGTTTGGGTTCTCTGCCTCCTGATGGGAACTTCTCTGATGGCAGCCACAGGGGGAGAGCAGAGCTGCCCTTAGGGAGCACCTAGGGCAGGGGTTCTTAACTTTGTATGTCATTGGTCCCTTGGGCAGCCTGAGGAAGCCTGCGACCCCTTCTCAGAATCACGTGCTTAAATGCATAAGATACAACTCTTAGGGTTACAAAGGAAACCAATTCCAAGGAAATAGTTATCGAAATAAACAAATCCTAGGTCTGCAGGTTAAGAAGTCCTGAGATTCTAGTCCAGCCCCCTTGGATCCCTCCACATAAATGCCCAAAGTTTAGGCAAAAAGCAGGAGGAGCCAGGCCAGGTCCTCCTACAAGAGGCTGATCTGGCCGGGCAAGTCTCTGGGTAAATAGAGTGGGCAATGGGGTGGCACTGTACAGTAAGAAGTTATGCTCCTATGAGGAAGGCCAGGAGGGAGGGAGGAGTCGGGGGAAGCATGATGCAGAACGTTTGGAACCGGGAGGGAGAAACAGAAGCAGTTTGTCAAGATCAAAGAAGGGAGTGCAGACGGAAAACACTCTGCCAACCCCGAAGCTCTAGGTAAACCCTGGCCCTTCTTTTCATGTGAATGCATGACCAGGTAGCTGCCAGCTTTGTGCTGCATTCATGAGTGATCTTGGAGGAGCTGTGGCATTTGGGGCTGGAAGGGACCCTTTCATTTTTATAGTGGGGGAAAACTGAGCCCCAGGGAGGTTCTCCGAGTTACCACTGGAAACACAGGCCCAGATGTTCATCACAGGTGCAGGATCCCCACCCTCCAACTCAAAAATAAAGGGGGAGGTCCACCACGGCCTCCTGTCTCTTTGGGCACTGAGGGACATAGGGGAAGAAAGGGCAGAAGATCTGGCCAGAAAAGATTCGTGAACCGGCAGAGATAGAAGCCGCTATGGAATCAGCTCGTCCATCCCTTCACATCTTGTCCTTATTGTACAAAGGGGTAAAATGACCTGTCCAAGTCAGTCACACTGTGACTTAGTGGCCTAGCTGGGTCCTCGATTCCTAGTCCAGCGTTCTCTTCACTGTCACCATGTCCCCTCCTGAATGTGACAGGCAATGCAGTGTAGGAGGTAGGGCTGGACTGGCAAGGGGGCAAGGTGGTTGGGAAGAATTACAAGGGAAGAAGCCACGAGCTCATATTAAAGGAGTTAACCCTCTTATCTCCCTTACTTCTCCTCTCCCTGCCTGCTTTACCCAATCCCTTTTCCAGGGTGCTCGGTCCTTACCTTGGAGTCTGTGAATATACTGCGGAAATACATATCCATCCTGGATCTGCCCTTCACCTGGTTACAAACCCAGGATGTCCTCTTTGTGCTAACCAAAAAAGAAGCACAGCAGGCCAAGGTGAGGATCCCATGAGTCTCCTGAGGTCCAGCAAACCTGAGTCTCTGGCAGGCCTACACTAAGAGGACCATCTACCGCCACCTTTTATTCTGTTCTGGGCTGGGCACTCATGTCGGAAGTTTCTTTGGGAGGGGGCGTGGTCATTGGAACTAGTATTCCTCCTTGTACAATCCCAGAAAAGGTAAGTTACTCTAGAAGAATATAAGCTCCTTGAGGCCAAGGTTTGTTTGGGATTTTGACTTTGTCTACCCCAGTGGTTTTGGAGAAGGAAATGGCAAACCACTTCAGTATTTTTGCCGAGAAAACCCTATACTAGGTTCATAAAGAGTCGGACACGAATGAATGGTTGAACAACACCCCAGTGGCTTACAAGGTGAATGGAACATTGTTAATGCTTAGTAAGTGTTGAATGAATGAATCTTGAGGCACTTAATAAATTTGTTCAGTCATTTGTCATGTCCAACTCTTTGTGACCTCATTTGGGGTTTTCTTGGTAGAGATACTGGAGCGGTTTGCCATTTCCTTCTCCAGCTCATTGACAGATGAGAGTCAAATAGGGGGAAATGACTTACCCAGGGTCAAGCTAATAAGTGTCTCAGGCTGAATTTGAGCTCATGAACATGAGCCTTCCTGATCCCAAGCCCAGTGCTCAATCTACTGTACCACCTAGCTGGCCATTTAATAAATATATATGAACATGAATGACATGAATGCATAGGGTAAGTTGAGGATGACTTAGAGTCTTCCAACTTGGGCAGCCAGAAGGATTGACATGTCAAGCTTCAGGTGCCTATGGGATAGACAGTTCAAAACATCCAAGGGTCAGTCAGTGATTCGGGACTGGAGTTCAGGAGAGAGGCTTGGAGTGGCTCTGGGAGCTGGGAGTTCTCTATGTAAAGAAGAAGAAAGTCGAGTCCATGAGAGCTGAGGAGAACGCTGAAAGAGGAAGGCAAAGGGAAGAGGGAGGTCAGGGAAGGGCTCCTACTGGTCACATGGGAGCCTTGGTTGGAGAGATGGAGCAGCACTTCTAGGTCATCCAAACCAGCACTCTCTCTTTTCAAAAGGGGAAAGCAAAGCCCACAAAGGGGAAGTGACTTGTGCAAGGTCATTGTGCAATGGTCATACAGGCCATTCTTAGCAGTGCCCAGACCCCAACCCAGATGCCTTTGGCTCCAGAGGCTTCACGCTGCCCTTCAGGCAGTACCAGCGTTTCTTTTCAGTCTCCTCGTCCAGCCATCTCTGGCCCTCAAAGCCTCTGCCCTCCTTCCCAACCACATTTTTATATGGTGAAATTAATGAAGGGCAGCTCTGATGGGAGAAAGGCACCTGAGAACCCTACAGAGCGGGTGAGGGAAAAGGGAGGGGAACCTCCCAGGACTGCCTCGGGCCTTTCTCCCATCACTGTCCTTGCATCTTCCTGACTGGCGGACCCTACACAAGCCACTTCATCTCTCTCACTTCCTTCCCCTGTAAATTGGAGGTGCATGGTAGCTCAGCCCAGCTCAGGGAGTTCTGTCCAGCCCAATGAGCATCTCATTACCACGCCCTGTCCTAAGCCCTGGGGATCCAAAGACAGAAGGAGAGAGCTTTGTCACCCTCTCGGGGAGTGTCCTGCCCAGCTAAGCTGGGACCATTGTCATTGTAGGCACGGCTCCTCACCGTTGTCCTTCTCCCTCCCTCCAGAAGGCCATGCTGTGTCACAAGAGTCAGCTCCTCTGGTTCCGGCATCTCTACATCATCTTCTCCCGCTTCATGGTCATCAACTCTCTGAACTTCTTCTAACACTGTAGAGTCTCAAGCACCCAGGAACAGAGGCGGAGTGTTCCCAGGAGACAGGGCTCTCTCTAGGTCTGACCCTGACCCGCTCCGGAGGCCCAGCGGTCCATCTACACCTGAAGGGTCAGCCCACAACTGTTTCTTTTCCCAAGGAAGCAGACAGCAGAGGTCATCTCCACTGAGCTGTAGTCAATAAGCATCTGCCCTTCTCCACACAACCTGCAACTAACTGTACCAAAAAGCCTGAATTGGTGGGAAACGAACAGATCTGTGCCCTCCAGCTCAGTGATTTTCTGGGATCCGGGCCGGTTAATATGGGAGGGGAAGGACAGAGGACCAATCAAGTGAGGGACAGAGGGCTGATTCCTTTTCTTTCTCCATTAAAGCTTTGATATGTTCAGGTTGGTCTTACTATTTCTTGTGAGAGTGCAAAGAGGGCTGAACTTGGAGGAAAGAAAGCTGGATCTGTTCCTTGTGTGATCCTAGGTAAGTCATTTGTCATCTCTGAGCCTCAGTTTCCTCGTATGTGAAATGAGTGGAACAACCCTTGCAGGACCGACTTCACAGAGAGACTCACCTGAGATCATCTCCGTAAAGAATTTGGCCAACCCTAAAGCACCTCACAACTGTCAGCTGTGACCCAGTTGAGTCAGAAGACCTGGATTCATGGCCTACCTCCGACACATCCAGGCTTTGTGAGGCCAGGCAAGTCTCTTAAGACTATAAGTGGCAGAAGCACCATTGATAGAGGCAATTTCCTCCTCAGGAGCTCCCAATACTACGGAGATCCCAGGTTTGATCTCCAAAACAAGTGCATCAGAGAGGTCCAAACCACCAGTGCCATGAGATGGCCGCCGGCCATCCAGACTGGATTGCACTGGATAGGCGGCTTCTGAGGTCCCTTCCAACTTAAAAAGCCTGGGATTCTGCACTAACTACCTGGCAAAGAGATGAGAGATGATGATTTGATGGAAAGAGATGAGGGATGAGGACTGGTGGATGGGGAGGGGGCAGAGACCCATCCAGTCTAATAAGGAGCATGGGCTGCATGGAGGGAAGTGATACCAGTTAACACGGGCAAGGTAGAGTAGCTCCAATTTGTATTGGGCCTGAAACACCAACCAGGCAAAGGAGTTTGAATGTTCTTCTGTGGGTACTAGGGAGCCACGGAGGATTTTGGAGCAGAATAGTGACAGGCTGGTCTCCAGATTCTCTTCCAGCTCTGATACTCTTTGATCTATGAATAGGAAAAGGATATTGTGAAACTATTAATACAAACAGGAAGGAAAATACAAAGAGGAGCAGTACCTGAGACTTCGCAAGATTCCGGTTCTTCCTGCTCTCACGGCTTTGATGGGGTTAATGTTGGCCTATGGAGGCTTGTGAACCTAGAATCCTTAAGCCACCATGTCTTTGACCAAAGGAGCTACAATCGCCCTAGACATTTCAAGCTCCAGAAAAGAAAAGAAAAGAAAAGAACAGTAATAGTGCAGCCTCAGGGTCCGCTGGACACTGCCCCATGCGCCATCTTCTCAGTTCTAATTTTGTGAACCCGTAAAATAACAGCTCAGGGCCAAGCAGGTGCCAGAAATTCAATTTCTTGCAGCCTTAAGTCCATCCAAAGACATAATTGACTGCCTCAGCTGAAGGATTGACCCTGGGACTCCTCCCCTCTCCCTACCCTCCCCCCATCTCCAGCTCCATTACTGGTTGCCGGCTCCATACATCCCAATAGAGGCATGATGATGGTATGTAGAGACCATAAGATACCATCCAGCTCCTGCTCCCCCTCTGGCTGATTCACAGACATCGAGGAACTCCCCGGGTCAATGAAAGATTTAAAGGGACTCTTCAGGTATTTAAAGGACTGGCCAATGGAAGAGGGATTAGCTTTGTTTTGCTTGGCCCCCTGCAAGGCAGATCCAGGAGCAGAGGGCGAAGAGAGGCAGGTTGTTTGTGCTGCCTCTAAGGGAGAACTTCCTCTTTCTAAGACAGAAATTTATTCTAAATCAGAGGGAAAATTTCTCCATGATGAGAACTCTGGAAAAGTGAGATGCCTTGTAAAGGAGTGGCTTCCTCATTGTTGAAGTTCTCAAAGCTCTTGATGACCAGGAAAAGGCCTTGACTCTAGAGGCAGAGGACCTGGATTCAAATCCTGCTCTTACTACCTGTGTGACCATGGGGAAGTCACCTCATCTCTGGGGCCTCAGTTTCTTCATCTGCAAACCAAAGGAGTTGGGCCAGATGGCCTCCAAGGCCCTTACCAGCCCTACGTCTGTGCTCCGATATGCAAATACAACTTGTCAGGGATGTCCATAGAGGAGATGAACTTGGTGGCTTCCTATATCTCCCAGCTCAGAGATTCTCCAGTTCTCTGTCTTGATCACCTCCAAAATGCCAGCCAATTCTCAGTCGATGAGAAGAGTGGAGGTGAGCACTAACCTGAGGGCTCCCCAAAAGGCCACTTTAATGACCTCAGTCATAAGTCAGTTTCCTTCCAACCACAGCAGGCACCCTCCTAAGAAGTTGTGGTTAAACTTAATTTCTGGGGGCAGCTAGGTGGCTCAGTGGATAGAGCACCGGCCCTGGATTCAGGAGGACCTGAGTTCAAATCTGGCCTCAGACACATAACACTTACTAGCTGTGTGACCCTGGGCAAGTCACTTAACCCCCATTGCCTAGCCAAAATAAAAAAAACAACTTAATTTCTATATAATGAATTCCGATCTGAATGTCTGGGGTGGGGGAGGGAGCAAAGCTCACTATTTAAAGGAATTTGTGTATGAGAAGTGGGAGAAAAGATATGAAGGTGGGGCCTAATTGGAGAAGAATAGTGAGCATGAAGGTAACAGATTATGGTTTACAATGGAAGCCATGAAATATGACAAGACCTAGAAGGAGGCCATCTCCCCATTGTGGGTAGCTTCTGTGGAGGGTTTTGGGAAGAACACAGATGAGAAGGGCCCACTGGGGAAAAAAACATGGTTGGGTTGGGACTTGTACCCATGGAGGGCAGGGCTGTGTCAGAACGCGAAGAGAATTAATTCTTTTTTAAGGTTGTCAGTATCTTTTGTTTTCCTCTCACCTTCATTTCCCACTCTATTGCTCCCTCTTCCAGTGGGCCATCCATTGAAACAAAGAATAAAAAAGGGCGGGGAGGGAATAGTTTGGTAAAACCAACCAACTGACCAACCCAGGCTGACATAAATGAAGAGTAGGCCCCGCCCCTGCCTCCGCCTCCAGTGTGTGCTCCTGTCTCCTCTTTGGGGGCAAGCTTGGTGGCTGCAATTTCCCACCACTCCATTTCAGTTTAAAGTCACTCTTCTCCTGCATAGCCAAGGCCCCTTCATTTTCTTACATGATTGTTCTGGGGGCCTTGATCTCTTCCATCTCTTTCTCTTTCCTCTAAAATAGGCATATTCCTTTTCCTTTCTCTTCTTAAAAAGTGAGTTTTGTTTATACGTCATTTTGGGATCATAACCCCAATTCCTTTTAGGAATTGGACAACAATTAAACAATTGGAAACCAATTAAGCAAAAACAACTCACCTATTGACCACACCTGACAACATATGTAACATCCTGCCCGAGTAACCCCCCACCTCCCTGCCAAGGAGAAAAAAGCCTGTTTCGTTATCCATATAGGCCAATCTTTTCTTTTTTTAAGGCAATTGTGGTTAAGTGACTTGCCCAGGGTCACACAGCTATATATAGGCCAATCTTAACCTATTCCTGGCTAAGGAGAAACCTGACTGGAGATTTCCATGTGATGTTGAATATAAGAAAGAAGAAATATATCATGGGGCAGTGGATAGAATGATGGATTTCAAGTCAGGGGACCTGGATGCATGTCCTGCCCTCATACTTGCCACTTGCGTGACCTTGAGGAAATCACTTCATCTTTCTGAGGCTCAGTTTCCTCAACTATAATGTGAGGGAAATGGAACTGATGGCCTCTAGGTTCCCTTCGGCTTTCGATCTCTGCTCTGTAAGGCTGGAGAAATTCAGTTAAAGTAGAAACAAAACAGTAACATGTAAATTCCATTTCCCTCATACATGTTTACACAGCAAAGCCTGAAAAGGTTGGGGACTTTGGTGGCTCCCAACCACAGGAGAAAAGTCAGGAAAGTTCTGGGTTTTTTTTTTTAATGTGGTAGACCATAATGCTCAGCTGGAGTCTCCCACCTGGTAAATAAACAGGAAGCTCTTAAGGAAAGAGCCACATCACTGATGGAATCTGAGTCTTGGTTGAGAGTGGCAAATATGCTGATGTTTTTAAGTGAAGTATTTGAATTCCAAGTCCACCACCACTCAGCTAACCAGTTTCCCAATTCAGGGCTCTGGGGTTTCTTTCCCACAGCCTCATCCCGAACATTCCTCTTCTAGTGGGCCCACAACAGACCTTGGCACTTCAAAGGTAAGTCAAAGAGAAGCAGATAACCACATATTTGGCTGAAACCCCCAAACACACATACACACACGCACACACATGCACGCAAATGCAGACATACACACGTACACACACACGCACACACGCACATACACACACTCTTCTCATCAATAAGACAAACTCATTTCTCTAGATCCTTCCTGCAGTCAGTATACAAAGAGGAAAGCAGGACGGTTTTTAAAAATCTGGTATTTCTCAGATTCTTTAACTTTTGCCCTCTGTTTTGAGAAAGCATCACTCTCTGTGTCTAATTACTGGCCAAGAAAAGGTTTGTTTAAGTCTATGGAAAGGTAAATAGCAGTGTGGTGTGGTGACCAGAGAAATAGATTTGAATTCAGGAAATTCTGAGTTCAAATCCTGATTCTGACGCTTCATGGCCATATGTGTGGGCGTGAGCGGGTGGTTAGGGCTAGGCCTCTTCAGGCCATGTGTACGTGTGTGTCCAGTGGTTCAGTTTTGGAGTTAGATCAAAATGAGACCCTCCTGGACCTTCCGACATTTAACAAAAGACACTTACTTAACAATAGTGTGGGAAGGATATTCAGTGAAATACAGTGTTGATACAGGTGAGTAAAGCTTCTCACTGTGGCAAACACCACAGTGGTGCCCCTAGTCAGAAGGCGTGTTGACTCACAGTGCCCCAAGGAGTCTGTCCAGTCTGAGGAGCCCCAACTCCTCATGGGCTTGGCTTTTTAGGACTTAAGCTATGCCAATGGTTTGAGCTTTAGTCAATTAAGTCTCTCTTCTCTCTCTCTCTCTCTCTCTCTCTCTCTCTCTCTCTCTCTCTCTCTCTCTCTCTCTCTCTCTCTTTGTCTGTCCCCCCGTCCTCCCTCTCTCTCTTTCAGTTTCTTTCCACGTCTGTCTCTCAGTCTCTTTCTCCCTCTCTCTGTCGCTCTCTGTCTCTGCCTCTCTGTCTTTGTCTCTCTCTGTCTCTGATCATCTCTCTCTGTC